TAGATTTCTTACTATTTTTTCGCTGGCTAGATTTGGATTTGTTTGATTTTTTAGCTTTCTTTTGGCCTTTCTTCTTCCCATCTGGGCCAATCTCATTATCATCCGAATGCGAAAATATCTGAAAATTTGTTATGGATTAATATTCATTTGCTGATAAAACAAAGATTTTAAAACAATATTCTAACTTATGTTAAGAAACTTACAGCATTAGCAGCAGCTTCTGCAGCTTCTGCCTGTTTTCGCTTTTCTTCTTCTTCCTGGTCTAATTCTTTTATACTTTCTTCTAATACATTAGGCCAGAAATCTCCTTCAAAATAAGGTAAATCCGCTGCACTGCATAATTTGTCTTCCATTGCTTGTTTTAAGATATCCTTATAATCTAATATAATTCTTTCTATAATGCCTTTATCAAGCATTTTCTTATACCACTCTTGTAATCGCTTTGGCTTAGGAATTTTTTGTTCAACTGGATGGCAGTGAAAAATATAGTCATCACCTTCTGACGGGGGACAGGCCCATATATGAGCCATTGTATAACCTAATTGTTTTGCATAGTCCATATAACCTAAAAAAGAAAAAAAAACTTGAAACTTCATCTTAAAAAATTGAATATAAATTCTTTGCCAAAATGCCTTACCTAATAAAATTTCATGATAAACAGCCGTTCTGTATTGCCTAGGCTGAAAAAAATGTACAGAATCCAAGTATGCAATATAAACTCTCCTTGTGTTAGGTGCAGGACATTCAGATCCATACTCTTGAACATGCATTCCAAAAAAACATACATCAGTTCCATCTACCTCTTCAAAAGCAAATAAGGCCTTTGCACGATATGGAAATTCACCTCGCAATTCTCCATTCTCAACAAACCTAAAATGCACAATTCAAATGGTAAATATATTAAAATGTCAATTTGTAACAAAATAGATTGCTTAAAATTATATACCTGCTTCTCATGCCTGGTTTGACTTCAACAACTTTGTCTGAGCTAGCTACAACTCGTATGTGAACTTCACCAGCACCTGCTTCTTTCTTTTTCAAATAATTATTTACCCTTGTTTCAATATATATGCCTAATTTTGATACTGGCAATCTCTTAGCATTAAATTTATTTTCTTTCCGTTTAGCACCTTTCTTTTTCAAACAATTATCACACACAAAACCACTTGTCCAAATTTGCTCTAAGTGTAGAACACATATTTGGTGTTGCTTTCTACCACAATCACCACATACAACAAAAGGTTCTAATTCTAAATGATCATTCTTCATTTCTTTAAACTGATCTTTTTTGATCACACTGTAAATAAATGATAATAAATAATATTAGTTATCTTATTAGTTTATCATAAAAAATAATATTCTTACGTTTGAGGTTGCAGTGGATCATCACCCAAAGTTACTGTATCACCTGGTATATCATTAAAGCATTTTTGGCAAAACGTATACCTTGAAGAAAAAGATAAAAATATTTATTATTTAATACATAGAGATTATTTACATTAAAATGTAACTCAATGTACAAACCTGTTCTGGTAACTGAAATATTTTGCATCCCTCGGTATTGTACACAATTGTTTACCATAACAGCAAAGTACTTGGGGGTTAAAAGTGTATTTACGTCCACAACAGTAACCCAATGCTTGCATGACAGGATCGATTTCCTGCTCAAAGACTTCTGATAGCTGAAATTAAAAAAACATATATACGTAGGTATAAGTGGCACTTTGCTTTGATGTCAATAGCAATTTTTACTAAACATAGAAGTTAACACCAACAGGATTACCAACAAATTGGATTTAGGCAACATTAAACCCAGATTGGCATATATTCAAATGCGATTTTCAAAATGAATTCGCATATTGACAATAAAATCCAAATTTGTAGACCTGCAGCTTAAAATGTCTAGTAGACCTGACTTGAATTTGACCACGCCGCCATGTATTTTACTTGAGTTTATCGCATTATTAACTTCCCGAAGGAGAAGTTTATTTTTTCATCAAAAAATTCGATTCGCTAATTTTGTGTTTTCTCGACGTTTTAAGCCATTCTGAATCGAATGAGACCAAATTTGGAAAAAGTATTGTTGTTTGTATGTGTATGTGAATAGATTTTATGCCGTAAATCGACGTTTTCTCAAATACGGCTGGACCGATTTCAAAAATTTCAAAGCCATTCAATGTATCTCGATGAGGGTTAGCGTTTATCAATTTTGCGCGACGATCAGCCAAGCCGTTTCTTCGTAAATCGTAGAAAAGTGAATTTTTTTCGTCCACGTTTTAGCCTGCAATTCTGAATCGATTTTGAAAATTCAAAAACTGTTCGAAAGGTATTGGTTGGGAAACGTGCTGATTAGTTTTTGGTAAAGGTTACTGAAATATTACGGCTTTACCATAAGCAATACAATTTTTTAATTCAATTTTAAAAATTCGAAGTTTGAGAAAATTAGTAGTATTTTTTTTGACATTTGTTAAAAATTAAAATTGGACGAATTACTTAGTATAACGATAGAGTGTTCGTTCGTTTTCAATAGTGTGTAATAAATACACTCGAAATACTTTTAATCACTCATAAATTAATTTATATTTTATTGATTAAGTTGATTATTTACACATATCGGGAAGTTCGTGTAACTTGCCTCAAGGCAAAATACCAATACCAACTAGTCTTTCTTTGCCTCCATAAAAGCATATAAAACTATCTATCCAGTTTTAAAATATCGGTTTATTTTAACAAACTGATTGCTGATTTAAAATGATTTTAATCATATATTTGCTTAAAGCACAACCTTATAAGTACAACGAGTTGCTATAGGATCATATGATGTTAGAAAGTATTGCAAATTGTTTGATTTCATACAATTTGACAAAGATACTATATCGTTATATCCAAAAAATATTTTGAATGCTATCAATTGTTCAATGAAAGGAAACATCGCCAAACAAAAGGGAAAAAAACATGTACTTTTTTTTACACTTATCTGCAGTTTGGAAGTTAAAGCTCGACCGATCGTCTCGCAAAATTAATCAGCGCTAGTTCTTTTGAAGTTTCACGGAATGGCTTTTAAACTTTTGAAATCGATACAGCCGTTTTAAAGAAAAACGGCGAAAAGTCATACATACGAACACATACACCTTTTAATTTTGTTGTCAATCTTTTTAGAATGGCTTAGGAAGCTTACATATTGCTACAATAAAATTTTCAACTGTTCATTTGAAAAAAAAAATGCTTTTACTAAAAACTAATCAATTCAATTTCCAATTGATATCATGCGCAATTATGTAAAATCTGTAATTGTTTTAACTAAACAGTGAAGGAATCGGTGAAAGTGCACAACTGAACGAAATATACCCGGCGTTGATTCTAAGTGAGACATATTCCAAACATAATAGTCGTAATATTATGTATATTAGTTTATACACCACGAAATATATTGTCATACAAAGTTTTATCAAAACCGCCCAAATGTTTTCAATAATTAACTAGTAAGTCCAGCCAATCTTAACCAAAAATTAATCAGTATGATTCAAAACTGATATTTTTCAAAGGGTTTTTATTTTCAAAATCGTTAGAGGATTTTCTTTGTAAAAGTTTTGACGAAAAATTTTGCACTTTTCCGCAAATCTAAAGGAACGGCTAAGCCAATCGTTTTGAATGCACTCAGCGTCAATCCTTGTGGAGTGGTGTCCAAACGGTTTAACAAATTTTGGCTTACAAACTTTCACACATATACATAAAAGCACACATATATATACAAGTATTAGATGATAGAGTTTCGGATTTGTAAATATTTGCTTGTTCTACACACAATATATATATATATATATATATATATATATATATATATATATATATATATAGGGTGGTCCTTAAAAAGGTCATTTTCGAATTTCCTTGCTCCCAGGGGCTCAAATGGTTCCAAATAGATAAAAAACAATTCTCTGAAAGTTTTAGCTCTTAATATTAACGTTTAGATAGAGCGCAATTCAATCAAAGTTTTGTATGGAAATAGAATGGAAAATTTTTCAAAAATTTTAAAAATGTTTTTTAAATGTAATTTAGCGTACAAATAAATGAATAAAACTTATTTATTTGTCGCTAAGTAATACCTAAAAGATTTTTTTTTAATTTTCAAAATTTTTTCCATGCTCTTTTCATACAAACTTTGATTGAATTGCGCTCTATCTAAACGTTAATATTAAGAGCTAAAACTTTCAGAGAATTGTTTTTTATCAATTTGGAACCATTTGAGCCCCTGGGAGCAAGGAAATTCGAAAATGACCATTTTAAGGACCACCCTAATATATATATATATATATATATATATATATATATATACATACAGAATATATATAACAAATGTATTCTGAGTAGATAATAGATATTAATTCGGAAATATGAACAAACAACACTCTTTTTTGAAATACTGATATTTCAAACAACGTGTAAAGGATAACACATAATGCTAATATAGGTTTCCATATTTTAAATTTTAAATTATAACACACTGATGATGAGACAAACCTAGTCTCTAATTATTATTTAATTAAATAGTGCAAAAAAGAGTGTTGTTTGTTCATATTTCCAAATTAATATATATATATATATATATATATATATATATATATATACCCAAGCCTCGCTATACGGCCGCTCTTTATACGGCCTTTCGCTATAACGGCCCTCTTTAATTAAGGTACGTTTTCGATATACGGCCTAAAATGTTTTGCTATAACGGCTTTTTTTCTCTATGTCGATATATTGCGCAATCTCGGTTTTGAAGATTTAAACGAATCTGATGTGCTGGATCTACTTGCAGCTGATAGGGAACCCCTTTCATATGAGGAACTCCTTCAGTTGCAAGTAGAACCGGCAATTGATGAAGATACAGAACCTGTTGTATCCAAACAGCTAACATCAAAAATCATAACGAGCGCTTTTTCATATTTTGAACAAGGAATAAACATCCTCCTTGAAAACGATCCTGACGTCGAACGTAGCGCTAATGTGTCTCGAGGAATTAACTCAGCCATTAGCTGTTATAAATCACTAAAGGAAGAAATAGACAAGAAGCAGGACAAACAACTTTAGACAAAATTTTCAAACCACCTGCGCAAAATAATGGTGACAGTGATCTGTAGGTTTTAATTGTTTCATTTTTATTTAAAAATTATGTAATGTTTTTGAAGTTTTTTCTTTTATGTAAAATTTATGTTCATGTTAAATATGTATATAATTTAAACAAAATAAAAAAATATATTATATATATATATATATATATATACTAGCTGACCCGACAGACGTTGTCCTGTACCCATGCTTAAAAACTCAATTTTTTTAAAAACCTATACTGGTATTTACCGTTTAGTTAAAAATAATCATCCATGTTTTTACATTACAATCTATACCGAAATGTATGTACAATTTCTACACTTAAATTTCAATTATACAGTAAAAACCAAATCAGCTACATCACAACATATAACGTATATCAAACTGACAAACATCATAAATAAATAAGTAAATAAATAAATAAATAAAATAGGTTCATTGTCTGTTCTTGTGACTTGGAGTTTCATCTAACAATTTATATGATTCTTTTTAGATTAATATCGAACTTATTGCTCAAACCTAACCGTACTTTGCATTTGAACAATTCACACAAATTCCATACTCCAGACTAAACCGTAGAAGAAACGAAAACATTCTATTTGGATATAAGATGCAGAATAAAATTACGAATAAAATGATATATAAATCGTTAAGTGTGTTCATATAATTTTCTCGAGATTTTCTAGTTTTCCTTGAATTTTACTACTGCAACTCGCCTGTAGGCCACACCGTTAGGAATTCGAAGTTGCAAAATATGGGAAAAGATCTAAGAATTTTGAGACCTTTCTAACGATATATAATACTTTGTTTTCTTTAGAGAAATTTAGAATAGTGTGAACTGTGAACTATTCAATAACAATATTCATACAAATTGCTCTCTACAATCCAAACCGTAAAAGATACGAAAAAACTTTGTTCGGACGAAAGATGCAGATTAAAATTACGAATAAAATGATATATGAAACGTTAAGTGATTCTACGTTTAAGTTAGAAAATGTTTGTATGAGAAAAAGAAAAGGGTTATTTTTAGGGTTTTCCCGGCAATTATTCGATTTTTTCTCGCCGTAAGAACCATCCTTGGACTTCAACGAACATTTTAAAAAAAGAATTGGTCAAATTGGTCCAGGCGTTGCTGAGTTATGCGCTTACCAACACATTTTGCGATCCATTTTTATATATAAGATTATAGAAATCGGCATTCAAGAAAACAAAATTAGCAAATTGGATTTTCTGGTTTGAGAAGTTTCGGTTTCCCATTGAGAAGTAGAAATATTAACTTTGTTATCATTGGTTAAAGCAATTTTGCATATAATCAATATTTTTACTTACTTTTGTACAGTGTCTGTGTATCCTTGTAGTCTTCTTATTATAAAGCCAGGCGTTATCAAACATAAGCCATACATCATCTACATATTCCCATGGATCACTGTATTGTCCTGTGTCCAACTTTCTTTTAATAGATGATAAATCCATAGGTTTTTTTATTATATTGAAGTAATCAGGTATTCCTAAAAGAATTGGATCCACTGGTTCTCTAAATGGCAAAGATTCTGGATCTTGCCTATATAATTTTTCTAAGGTTGGCATTAATGCTTGGCGAAGTTCTTCAGGTTTAAATACTGAAATCATAATTATAATTAAAATTCAGTACATACTTTTACCTATATTGTAAAAATATATATAATAGTATAAATCAACTTACAGCATTTCCGTTTCTTATCTTGAACACTTGATTGAATGGGTTCAGGAACCATAGGCTTAATATCCATTATATCACTTTGTGATCTAGGTGTTCCAGGTTCCTCTTTAATCTCTTCTTTAACTGTGATCTGGAAGTATTTAAATTTTATGAAAATATGATGTCATTTAGCAGAAGGATTTCAAAAACTAAATTTATTTTCTAACCTCTCCATCTTCCATAGGTTCAGTTTTAATTTCTGTTTTAACACCATTGCTGGAGTTGTCCCCCTTTGTCATGTGATTTGATTCTCCCTCTTCTCTTTTAATTTCAGCACTCTCATACTTCATTTCCAATTTACCACTTTGCTTTGTTGGAGAAGGAGACGTTTCCTCTTCTTGATCATTAGCAGCAGCCACAAGTGCAGCCATTTGTGAACTTCTGGAATTCAATGAAGATCTATCGGCCCCAATTCTTTTTCCCAGGGTCACGTTACTATTCGAAACTGGAGATGTAAGGCTAGGTGGAGGTGTTTGATCTGGGTGGGGTGGCAATGTGGATGCCATATTTGGTGTTCCAGGCATTGTACTAGGCACTGATGTATTTGAAGGTACCATATTAGGACTTGGACTCGGCACAGGAACTTGGGAAAGTTGATTTTCTGATGTTGGAGTTGGTGGCATTGGACCACCTACTCGATTATTCTGTTGCATGTTATTAAATTGCATATTGTTTGCTGAGTGTTTCCCAAAGGGTCCTTGAGAAGGCACAGTTGCCTGATTTGCAGATGTATTAACTGAAGCTGAGGCTTGTGCAGCAGCCAAGCGAGCTTTCATAACATCAGGATATTGCATATTAGGAGCCGGAGATGTTGTCGGAATACTTGGTCCATTCGAATTTGAAAATTGATTGTTTCCAGGCACATTTGGAGTTGTAGCTGTAGGAGGAGTCATATTAGGACTTGGTGCAATAGTCTGTCCAAAAGGTGATAAGCCTGAATTTGGTACAACCATATTTGGTTGAGTCATATTATTGCTGTTGGGACTTTGGCCGGGTTGTCCAACCACCATATTATGCTGTCCAGAAAAGGGTGCCCTAATTGGTAAATTTATATTCATGCCAGGGGAGTGAGTTGGAATACCTTGTGAAGTATTCCCTGTAATATTTTGTTGTTGAACAGGAAGATTGTGGCCAGGCAAATTTGGCTGATTTGGTATTACAGCACCTGGCATGTTAGGTTGTCCAGGAGCACGAACTAGATTTGGAGATAGAATTTGTGGGCCCGTCGCTCTCATTGCTTGTCCAACAACACCCACTTGTTGCTGCTGTTGCTGTTGCATTTGCTGCTGTTCTTTCCTCTTAAGGCGTTTCTCTTCTAGCTCTTTTTGGATCTTATAAATTTTCTCAGCTAATAAGTGATAATATTCTGATCGAGAATTAGCTGCTTCATACATATCACCTTCTACCTTCCGTGCATATGCCACTAAATTATGCATGCGTTTATCAAGCATAGTTTGGGGATCCGGAGTCGGAAATATTGCTTGTACCAGTTTATGAACTAAGTGATTCCTTAAATCAGGCGTTACAGACTGATGCCATTCTTTGGTTCCAGGCACAGGAGCAGCTGTCACTTGCCCAGCTTGCAAACCACTTGGTAAAGACAGATTATTGCCTCCCAAGACACCACCTCCTAAAACTGAATTAGCTTGCTGATCAGATCCTCCAAATAACTGCATATTAACAGACTGTTGTAAACTTGTTGATGTTTGAGAAACTGACGGTACCGGAACTCCTGATTGACTAATAGGATTTGAGGAAGGATCCGAACTCAAAGGTAAACTAACATTTGGTGCAAGCACTTGGTTTTGATTAGTGCCTATTTGATTCTGGTTAGGACCCAATACACGAACTTGAGTCATATTAGACTGGTTGGTAGAACCCAAAACTACAGGAGCAACAAGTCGAACTGGTCTAGGTCCTTGACCTGCCATATTGCAACTATTTGGTAATATAGCACCACCAGGTTGACCAGGAGGTGTTATTCCAAGAGCATCATATGCTCTCCTCATGTCTGAAGGAGAAGGATTTGGAGTTTGACTATTCGGTATAGGATTAGTGGCAGCTGCAATTATAAACATAAAATAATTAATAAAATTTCTAGTTTAGATAGTCTATTAAAATAATAATGCTACTCACCATTACTGTTATTATTTCTATTTTTATCTGCCTGTTTCAATGGCAAACAAACTGGACAGTCAGATCTTGTGCAATGTTTCCAGTGACTAATAATTTGTCGTGAACTTGAGCAATGAGCAACACCACAGCTTTTTCCAGCTTGGCATGTAGTCATATGATTTAAAACACCCTTCATTGTTTTACAATGAGGCAAACTACACTGACCAGTTTCACCATTTGCCATAGATTCCCTCCGTTGACATTTGTGTGCATGCAAAAGTAAAACCAATTGCTGTTGAATCAATTTGCGCTTTTCGGGATCCGCTAAAAATTTATATTACATATTAATTGTTGTAACATAAAAACAATATTTTCATAAAAAAAATTCTTGAAACACCATAAATCTAAATTAAAACTTTTACACATTCCATTAAATAAATAAATAATATATATATATATATATATATATATATATTTAAAAAAAACAAAAGATAAAAATCAAATTAGCATTTTTCAAATAAAGTTTCTTAAGCAAATTGATAAAAAAATTATATACCTAAGCCAGTCGCAGGAGATGGGTTCATTTGTTGTGTTGCTGTTTGTGGTCCAGGTTGAGACCCACTAGGAGCACCAGATTGCGGCTGAGCTGGAGAGGGTGCAGGAGGTTGTGTTTGGCCTGCCATACCTCCTTCACTAGTAGTAGCAGTATTGCCAACAACTCCTGGTTGAATAGAACCTGGAACACCAGCATTTCCTACTTGCTGTCCAGCTCCTGGTACATTCACAGCTGTGTTAGTGGCAACAAAACGGTTTTGTAATGTGGCCATGTTAGGTCCTCTTTGCTGTGGTGCTACAATGCCAACCGCAACTGATTTTAGAAATAAAAGTGACCAAAAATTCAGTTATAAACTATTATTTAGGATAATATTTTAACACAATGAAACTTTCAAAATAATTGAAATTCAAATTATATCCATAAAATGTGAAATCATTAGGTTAAAAAAAAATTATATTAAAACTACAAAAATTATCAACATATTTTAAAGGTGGCAAATTGTATTTGCAGGGATTACTACAGTATTATAAAAAATGTTTGTCATTATTATATTTTTTTAACATATTAAATTAATTACCTGGTAGTTGGGGTTTCATTGCATTAACATTCACTGGGCTGTTTCCACTGTATCCATAAGGTGGACCTTGCATGTTTCCCATTTGGCCCATAGGCATATTTGGTGCCTGCATACGCGGCCCTCCTATATGATGACCCACCACTCTTGGCCCCATTAAACCTCCTGGCTGCATTGTAGCACGAGCAATCATTGGTCCATTCTGCATTCCCTGAGAGTTGAAATAACTCATTTATGATATGTTTTTGTAATATATATATACAATAGAAATTTCTGCTTAAATGCTATAACTTGCATCATAGTATAATATAAATATAATTATCAAATAATAAAAATTATGGTACACTGATACCCACTAACTCATTGAATTGCAACTGAAATATGATTGCTTTACCTTTCCAACTGAAGATTTTTTTGCAAATGAAAAATAAATGTAAGTATTTAAATTCTAATGTAATAAAATATACCAATGGTAAGAAGAGTCACAAAGTAAGTAAATATCTCTTCTTCAAGCCATTCACAACTCAACTCAATATAAGTTTTATCAGTTTCCCAAAGAAGAAGTTTGTTGTTCTCAAATCAATAACTTTTCTTTAAATCTCTATAATATCTAAAGTTGTTGCCAAATTGTTAGCTTCGTTAATGAAATAAAAATTGTTTCATGAATGTTTGTGCAAAAAAAAAAATCCTCAATCGATTTTGAACATTCACAGTTTTTGGTAAAGATTCAGTTTTTTGACCGCACAGTTGAAAAAAAATTTGAATAGTTTTATTGAAACTTTGCATGTTGAAGTAGAATTCAATAATTTTGAATGCAAAATATGCTTCGGACAGCCTGCTTGTAAACATTATGCTAACCCAGTTAAAACCACTATTGTTTATATTTTAATATTAGTGCAGACAAATATTATTGAAATTCATTTAATGATAAAATAATCATTTGCATTTATTTTGTACAAAAATATTTCAACATTAAAATAATGAACATTGTGTCCTCGCAAATATAAATGTTAATTATTACTTGCTTACACACACATAATCCATAAACACATGCTTAAAATCATTCTCACAAAGTTATATATTTGAATAAAAATATTTTGTATAAATATAACAAATTTTTCAAGTTATGTCATAGGCCAATACCATAAAAGTCATAAATACATTAGAAATATAAAAATATACCATTTATCTAAAAGCTTAATTCACACGTAAAAAAAATTCATTACCTGTGATAAACCATGTTGAGTGTGATGCATCCCTGGTTGGCCTCCCATCATTGGAGAAGCTGAAAGTGGTTGCTTATTCACACTATTGACCACTAGTCCACCTCCGCCCATAGTTGCATGCCCACCTGTATTCATAGAGCTGTTCGTCATTATCATACCCCCTACTGATGTTGCACTATTTAATCCTAAAATAGGTAATAGAAAATGTAATTTTTTTTATATAATAAATAATAAAATTGTGAGAGAAGCAAGTTCTATCAAGTAAATCTTTAAAGCAAAAAAAAATATTAGCTGTGAATTAACAAAATAGTCTTAACAAACTGTTTAGAACAAGTAATAAATATGAATATAACTTTTGTGATTAGGTGAGTTTTTTTTATCTCATTGTAATAAATATAAGATATTAATTTGTGTACCTTGCATTGAACTCATAGGCTGATTATTACTATTAGACATTGACATGGGCATAGAATTTGCCATTGAATTTGACATACAAACATTGTTGGGCATGTTGCTATTAATAATTTGATTTTGTAACCCCATGCCCATGCCGTCTTTAGTTCCTTGTGTTACTGGAGATTGAAGATTTGGACTCTTACTGGTCAACAAACCTGTAAGTGCCATTTGGTTTCCTAATCCTTTTGTATTCTGCAATTAATTGTTAATAGTAAGTAAATCGTTTAAGCTGTTGGATTGAAATATTTAATGATCAATACACACTTGCTGCAGTTGATGATTGGATTGATTAATTCGTTGAATATTGTCTTCTCCATTGATAGATGCACCAGGGCCTGGCCCTTGCGCTGGAGGCTTACTGCCTCCGCCAATTTGGTCTCCCCAAGAACCACTTGAAATTAGCTCATCAGGCAAATCTTTTTCCAGATCAAACATATCCATTTGAGAAATAACATCTGAAAGTACAGTATATAAATACATTAATATACAAATAATTTTACATTCTTCATCACTAAAATATGTTTTATATATTAATAATAAACAATATGTTTCAAGATAAAATATAAAAATTGTTAATCATATCATCATGCAATTAATTTAATATTTAATTAATTCTAATATTTACATTTACCATAGTTTTAAAATTATAGGTTACATTTAATGCATAACATTGCTGACAAATATCTTCCAAAAATTTATAAAATCTGAAACATTTTTCAGTAAAGTAACAAATAGCAATCAGAAAGCTAAAAAAACATTTAATTTCAAATAATTTTCATATACTGAAGCATATCAATAATGCAAAAATTATTATTATATATATATATATATATATATATATATATATTATATTTATATATATATGTTTACAAATGCAAATCAAATATTTACACCATACAATAATAAATGTAAAAGCACTTTTTTATCATGCAAAATTTATTTAATTATATGTCATAAATATTTTGGGTTGCATATGTATATTGTTTGGTGTTGTATTAATAAATATATATGGTTAATTTGTTTACTTCTCTTCTGTTGCATATGTTGCATAACTTGTTGCTGGTTGTTCCATTGTTGATTTTGCATAGGGCCTCCTTGTGAACCTCCGTTACCCACAGCATTGCTCAATCCAAAGTTGTAAGATTGGTGCATCATAGACATCGGAACTGCACCCATACACCAATTGTTAGCTTATATTATTAATACAGCTATTGTAAACAATATACAATATTTTCTATACACATGGAGGAGTTTCACAAAATTTTAATTTACCTCATATCACCATGTATAATTAATAAATGTGTGATATAAAAATTTATTTAAAATTATAAATAAAAAAGCGCGGACATGCAGAGCGTTTTCATGCTGACATGCAAGTAGAGATTAATCAAGAACTGTTTATAATATTAAATAATTCAATTCGATTTTTTTCAATCTTAATACCGCGTTAATACAGATTGGCAACATATCTGTCATAATTTATTTTTATTAAATGAAGTCTTTTTTAGCACAATATTTTTCAAAAATCATATTTTATGGCATTTATAAAGTAAATAAGATAAATTTCGATAGATTTACGGGTTTATAAAAATAAACATATCGGTAAAATACGCGTTCGTTTACCCACATGTCAAACTGATGTCTAGAACTCCTTTCCACATATATGATACACATGCAAATCTTAAAATTAAATTGAGCAAATATATCATAAATATCTCACCCGTATTGTCTGAAGGACCCTGAAAGTGGTCCCTCAGCTTTACCCGCTTATTTGGGGGCTCGTCTATAAGATGATCGGCCATGGTCCTATGTTTACCAAGCTTTACCGCCGCGAATCGAACCTACTACCCGCCGAATGCACTATCACTATTTATTATATTTTCAGTTCGTTGCACATTTTTTAGTGATACATGACGCTGGTTTTTAAGTAAAACTACTTGTACAACAGTTTTTTGCGTATCATGTCGCCCAAATAACATATTAAAAAATCCAACTTAATCATTAGCCATTACGAGAAACCTATCGACAAGCTTACAAAACCTCTCACCATCTTTCGTCGGTACTGTGCACAATGAAAGCAAACAATTCACGAAAAAAAACCTCACTAATGATACATTTTTGTACATATAACACCTAATTTTTATAACATATGTATTTATAAATCACAATCTGCACAAATATTTGATGGAAATCTATACACAAGTCACAATTATTGAAAGAACGAATGCGAAATTTCTACTGAATGCTGAAAGTCCAAAATGGCGGCTGTTGATGTAAAGTTTTTCTACGCTTGTCATAAAATGTCTGCCTGTTTGTTAAAATGTTATACGATGTGGATTGGTTGGTAGTGCCCACGTGATATCGTACTCAACTGTGGTTGGACGTTATACGACAGTAGTGCCTTTGTTGCTGTGTAGTCGGCGCTGCGATCGCGTGGACTACTTCGTAGATGTCATAGGGTGTCATTTACACAACATTGAATATGAAGTAAAGACAGATAATACATCCTTGTAAAACATATTTAACTCTTTTAATGTAATAAAATATTCCAACCGTGCTAATTTTTTACTGTTTGCCTCTGAACAATTTACAAATAAATTTCTTATAAATATTTCCAATAACTATTTTTTTTAAAAGTTAGTTAAACGCAGTTAAACGGGAAGGATTAGTAATGTTCAATTATTAAAAAAGATATTTCAAACAATAAAATAGATTACCATAAATCAAACATATTCAAACTATTCTAATTATTATTATATTATCAAGTATTCTGTTCATTTTCTTAAATTTAATTCAAAATTGCGCAAAATGTTATCATATATCTCATTCTTTGTATTGTTTACTTTATACATTTTTTCTTAATTTGATAATATTACACGCGCCCCATAGTCAGTATCGTAATCTTATATCAAATAATAAGTTAAGATTTACTTTACAATACATTATATTACATTGCATTATTATTTTAGTGTAAATTTTCGTAGGTTTATGCGCGAACGTTCATGATCGAAATAAAAAAATTCTATAAATTATATAATTTTATCGATTATTAACGACTAATTAATTTATTAAACAATCTAAAAAGATTCAAAACTTCAAATAAGTCAAATTAATACTCATAGACGGGCGACTTAAGCAATCGCACGATTATTTTGTTATCAATTGTTTTCTTTCATCCACAAAAATAGTTAAAACAAACGTATTCTTTATCAATTTATTAAATATTGAATATTGTGGTGGGAAAAAATAATCCTAAAACATTAATATGTTGATAATGAATGCGTTACAAGAAAAACGTCTGTTTAATAATAATAAAAAAAAAACTAAATAAATTCATAAAACTTTTTAAAATCATAAAATATATTGAAATAGTTACTGAAAAAAGCAAAACATCCAGATACAGTAGTTTAATAATTATTACTATAAAAAGCTATACATATATTATAATAATGCATTTAAGTAATAATAAAATTATATAACCCCTTTCAAAACAGTACAATATAATATCTTCACAATTTCATACTAAGTACATATTTTAACACAATATAAAATATTCTAAACAGCATATTATGTAAATAATTGTAATACTTACACAAATATCATATAATATTGTAGAATTTATAAAGTAAATATATATAAAATATTATAAACAGCATAAAATATGTAAATAATTGTAATACTTACACAAATATCATAATATTGTAGAATTTTATAAAATAAAATATATAAAACTCTAAGAAAAGAATATATATATAATTATATTATTAAATATATATTCTGAAGATTATCTCTAGAGATGCAGATGAGCTGTTATTTTATTAAATAGTGCGTTTCAATTAATTCTCTCCCAATTGCTTAAACTTATAGGGCTTGAGATTTCAATTGTAGTATCTTTAAATAGAAAATTTCTAATTTGGACCTGTTGAAATGTAATGTGATGATATAAAATTACAAAAGATATTTCGGAATATAATCAAAAAATAATTAATGATATATCATAATTTTTATTGGTCATATATAAATTATACTATAATTATAAACATCAGTACATAATCATAAAATAATTATATCTTATTTGTTATTATTAATAATCCTAAATACTATCCTAAATATATTGTAAAAATAGTATACATCAAGCTGTCATAGTAACAATAATTAGCATTCAAAATATTTAATATTAAACAATATGCTTTAAACCTTAAATACAAGTAAAATATTTATTTTCATTTATGCTATGCTGAATGTATCGTACTGCTCTATGGATATCTATAGTTAAAAAATCTACAAAAATTTACATCAGAAAATATTAAATATTTATTACAATTCCAACAAAATAATTTGCCGTATACTTTTATATAAGAACCTATGCTATAATAGGTACTATTTTACCTATTAATAGGTGAATAAAAATTTAATTAGTGATATTTGAAAAAATATATGTATATTTTCAAAAGGCACCATTATGGCAAGGCTAGAGGTGTGTATCGTTCGAATTCTGAAATATAAAATGTTTAAAAATACTTAAAGCTATACAATTTGATTATTCAAATAGTTAGTCAGTTGAACAAAAAAAAGGCTAAAACATTATTTTTCATTAATGATTCCTGCTAATGATTCAGATGCATCCAGTCCGGCTTTGTTTTTCTTCATCTGAAAGTATTTTATTGACAATAGTAGTAAATTATATGTTAAGATTAAGATTATTTTCAATATGAGAACAAGAATAAAATCATTTTAAAAATTTGTTGATAATTCAAGTAGACGATTATCATTCATATATTAGTCTATTATATTAAATAATTAGTATAGGTAAAAATGCTTTTAATGGAAAAAAACATGTTGCAGTTAGTGCTTTTAGTATTGTTAGTACAAACTCACAGGCATATGAGTAGATCGTTCACCTGGCACTTTTTCATTCATTGGACATACTAATTCTCCAAGATCATCTAACGTGGGGCTTTTATGGCGTTTTAAAGAGAACTGTGATTTCTTGGGAACCTTCAAGAATAATATTTTAGTTTACAATATGTACATTTTATTTATTAATATCATTTACAAACCTTCACTTTAGCTGTTAGGGTGAGTGGAACAAAGCCAAGAGTAGACTCGGCCTCACGTTTGCCTTGCATAATATCTCGACCAAGTAATTCCTTGAAATGCGTGGCCAAATGCCTTCTTAATAAAGTTTTGTTAGCAGGAATACTCAATAAATCAGCTAGCAAGTCGCTTGAAAATCGAGGTTCGTGCACCAGCATAGCTCCGTGTACACCTTAATTAAAGTAAAAAAAAAATAAAATCAAATGCTTGTTCGTATAAATTCTGGAATCATAACTAGCAAGCCTCATATATCCATTTATTTCATGTAAATCTAATAAGCCAAGTGAGTAGGATGCCGAAGCAATTCTATTGCCTTAAAATGTTAAGAAAGATGTTTATAAAAGATACTGAGCACATGTTTATAAGAATAAGAATATACTGAATCACCCACAAAATTTCTGACCCTAACCAAAAATAATAGAATTAGAAAAAATAGTTATATTAATGCATACTTTGACTATATTATTGCTTTGCCAAGTTATTTGGTATACTTTGCAATTAGAAAAAGTTTCGGAGGTAAGTTTAAATAATAACAATGCTATACATAGATAAAACGGAAAAGCTAAAACTGAAACTGCACTTTGAATATTTAAATTCAAAATATCAATTATATGAAATATAAATATTATAATCAAACTATCCATAAAGAATATTTTATTACGAAATTCTGAGAACTGCTCCTAAAAATGTATACTCGAAGTACGTATCAGATTCAAATTGAAAGCTTATAAGATGTTTTTGTTGAAGGGTGTTTTTTGATTATAAGTGCGTATAATTATTATGTCCCAAAGAAGAAGTTCTCCAGAAAATCCTATTCGCTAATTTTATGTTTTCTCGGCGTTTCAAGTCATTCCGAATAGTTCGACTTTTGCAAAAAGTTCATGTGTGTATATATAGGTCTTAATTTAACCTTTTGTCGATTATTTCTCAAAAAACGTGCACCGTGCATTCAAATATTTCAAAAAAATTTGTGACCAGCCGCGCCGTTTTCATAAAATTAGCAGAATAATGCAAAAATTTCGTTCATGTTCAGCCAAAAAAACTGAACCAATTTTGAAAGTTCAAAAACTGTTAGCAAGATATCATTTGGGAGTCGA